GATATGATGGCCACTAGCCACATGTGGCTATTTAAAGTAATTAAGGTTGGGACGCGCCTGGGTGGCTCAGTCGGTTAAACAACCGACTCTTGGTTTCAGCTCAGGTCATGATCTCACGGTTTCATGAGTTCAAGCCCCACATCATGCTTTGTGCTGGCCACTGGGAGCCTGCTTGAGATTCTTTCTCTCCCTCCCTCTCTCTGCCCTTCCCCCACTCGCGCCATCTCTGTCTCTCTCAAAATAAATAAATAAACAGAAAACATTAGAAAAAAAATAAAGTAATTAAGGTTAGGGAACGTCTGGCTGGCTCAGTCAGTAGAGCGCATGACTCTTGATGTCAGGTCATGAGTTCAAGCCCCACATTGGGTGTAAAGCCTACTTAAAAGTAAATAAATAAAGGGGCACCTGGGTGGCCCAGTTGGTTAAGCGTCCGACTTCAGCTCAGGTCATGATCTCACAGTTCATGAATGGGAACCCCTCATTGGGCTCTCTGCTGTCAGCACAGAGTCTGCTTCCGATCTTCTGTTCCCCCCGCCCCTCCCCCACTTGCGCTCTCTCAAAAATAAACATTTAAATAAATAAATAAGGTTAAATACAACTTAGGATTCAATTCCCCAGTCACACTAGCCACACTTCAAAATGCTTAATAGCTAAACATGGCCTGTTCAGGCAGCACAGATCTAGGACATTCCCTTTTTCGCAGAAACTTCTATCGGATAGCACTGGCTTAGTAAACCTTCTCATCTCTCACCAGGTTCTACATTGAAAATCTACAACGTCCCACACTGTGACCTCAGACTCCTTTTCTTCCTATCCACCTATTTTTGGACTTCATTGAGCTCCTCCGTCTGCAATCCCTGCATCTTCTCCAGATCCATCTGCTCTGCTCCTGAGCCGCCTTGGCGTCCTTCCTCACTGAGCCAGGATCTGTCCTGAGGTTCCGTGTGGGGTCTGTTTTCTTCTCTGCTCTCTGCATCCCCAGTCACCCCTCTTCCTGCCCCACCTGCCGAGGTAAGTGACCTCATAAGGTTGTTGAGAAGATAAACTACCCTGGCACATAGTAAACGCTCAGTAAGTGAGATCTGTCCCCACCACCACCATCATTACTACTGATTATTCCAAATCTTTACCACCCTTTAAAGATTTTACCCAAGGGATACAGAAATGCTGAGTCATAGGAGCACATGTACCCCAATGTTCATAGCAGCGCTCTCTACAATAGCCAAAACATGGAAAGAGCCTAAGTGTCCATCCACGGACGAATGGATCAAGAAGATGTGGTTTATCTATACCATGGAATACTACACGGCAATGAGAAACAATGAAATCTGGCCATGTGTAGCAACATGGATGGACCTTGAGGGTGTTATGCTGAGCGAAATAAGTCAGGCAGAGAAGGACAAATATCATATGTTTGCACGTATGGGAGGATTAGGAGGAACTTAACTGAGGAACAAGGGGGAAAAGAAGGGGGGAAATGGTGGGGGAAAGGGAGAGAGGCAAACCATGAGAGACTCTTGAATGCTGACAAAAACTGAGAACTGAGGGATGTAGGGGGGAGGGGGGATGGGCATGGAGGAGGGCACTCGTGGGGATGAGCACTGGGTGTTATGTGGAAACTAATTTGACAATAAACTATCTGTAAAAAAAAAAAAGATTGTGGTAAAACATACGTAACATAAAGTTTATCATTAATGATAGTACATTCACACTGTTGTGCATCCCTCACCGCTATTTAGTTCTAAAATATTTCCATCACTCTAAAAGGAAAGCAATTAAGCAGTCACTCCCCATTCCTCCCTTCCCCTCACCCCTAGGAATCAATAATCTGTTTTCTGTCTCTGGAATTTCAGACTCTGGGTATTTCACATATATGGAAACATACAATATATGGCCTTTTGTGCCTGCTTCACCACCTTTTTTAAGCCTCCTGTTGAACTAAAACTTTCTCTTTCTCTTTATTTAATATTTTACTTTTTAAGTAACCTCTAAACCCAACATGGGGCTCAAACTCACATCCCCAAAATCAAGAATCCCATGTTCCACTGACTCAGCCAGCCTGATGCTCCTAAAACCTTCCTCTTTTCTTTTTTTTTTTTAAGTTTGTTTGTTTGTTTAGAGAATGCAAGGAAGGGTGGGGCAGAGAGAGAGAGAGAATTCCAAGAAGGCTCTACACTGTCAGTGCACAGCCCAAGGTGGGCCTCGAACCCACAAACTGTGAGATCATAACCTGAGCCAAAATCAAGAGTCAGACACTTAACCGCTTAACTGTCTGAGTCACGCAGGGACCCCATAAACCTACCTCTTAATAGATGATACTTCTTGTGTTTCTCCAGAGCATTCAACTTTTCAGATGTCTTATCACTCAACTTCCTATCCTCCTCACCCATAAACCAAGGTAACAATACTAATATTAGCAACAAGTTTGTTGAGTTATTGCTCTGTGCCAGGTGCCTCACTGAGGGCCTTGTGTGCACACCTCATTTCACTCTTACAACCCTTCTGAGAGGCAACTACTAACATTACGCCTATTTTCGGTCAGGGAAACAGGCTCAGAGCAGTTAAATCATGGAACAATCGAGTGGCAGAACCAAGATTCAACCCTGGATCTGCTTGACTCCAGAGTTCAACTCACAACCACCACCCTGTATCTCTTCTCAGCGGCCCCCCTCTCTCCTTACCCCGGGTCTCAGAGAATACTGGATCCTTCCTGTGTCGGCTCAAGGCCGGCCCATCCTCCTGCACCCTTAACCTCATCCCTTCCTATTACCTCCAGAACTTCTAGAACCCTCTCCACTCCCGTTGGAGCAGAAACGGATTCAAACAGCTGTGGACCGGAAGCATCTGGTTGCTTCTTCACTCACTTGTCTGATGTCTGAAGTGGGATGACTGAAAGAGCAAGGTCCGCTGGGAACGGTAACTTCACATGGGCTTTCCATGTGATTTTGGCTTCCTCACAACATGGCAGCCTCAAGGTAGACAGACTTCTTGGGTGGCTCCTCATGGCTCCAAGAGCTAGAGTTCCAGGGATAGTGCACGCCCTTTTATGTCCTAGCCTTTTGTGTCACAGCATCACTTGGCCCATGCACTCACCGGCTCACCCAAGATACTAAGAAAGGGTACGTGGATCCCATCTCTCCACAGGAGGTGTGCTAAAGAATTTGTTGCCATGTTTTAAAATCAGGACAGGTGGGGCGCCTGGGTAGCTCAGTCATTTAAGCGTCTGACTTTGCTCAGGTCATGATCTCATGGTTCGTTGGTTCCAGCCCCATGTCGGGCTCTGTGCTGACAGCTAGCTCAGAGCCTGGAGCCTGTTTCAGATTCTGTATCTCCCTCTTTCTCTGACCCTCCCCTGCTCATGCTGTCTCTCTCTCAGAAATAAATAAAAACATTTTAAAAATTTTTTAAAAAAGAAAATAAATAAACATTAAAAAATTAAAAATAACAGACAGGTTGTTTCCAATCATTTGCTATCCCTTTAGTTCATTTTACCCCCTAACATCTCTTGGATCCATTCGTTTTTCTGTAAGCCCACTAGACCAGGACATAGTCATCTCCAACGTGGAGCCTCCTCACTGATCTCTCTGGGCCACTCTGGAACGTTCTATCCTGGTCTCCCAAGGGACCAGCAGCCAGAGGGATCTTTTCAGTGTGGAATTCAGATCACACCCCTCCCCTCTTTCCAATCCTTCCATGGTTCCCCACTACTCTTGGGTTGAAGTCCAAACTCCTCACCTTGGCTTATGAGGCCTGGAGGGTCTCATGGATGGCCTGCTTCTCCAGCTGCCCCTCCTGTCACTGTTTGAGGCCTTTAGTTCTGGGCTCCAGGACTTCCTCTTTCTGTCTCTGTCTGTCTGCCTCTGTCTCTCACACTCACATAGTTAAATGAGTGAGTAGTACATGTAAAGCACTTAGACAAGCCCTTTACACATAAGGAACAGCGCAGATGTGTTATTATCACTAGTTTGTGTTCAGCAAATATTTGTTGAGCTGCCTGCTCAAGGCCGAGCAATGCGTGAGGCTCTGGGATACATCAGTGAATGAAAAAGATCTGGCCTCCTCTCTCAGAGTTCATCCACCCCTGTGTCCCTGCCCCCAGCACATGAAGAGAGAGAATTACGCTCAAGGCACGAAGGCACGTTGGTGCAATGGTGCCTGGAGAAGCTCAGAGCAGGGCAGTGGCTTTCCTAAGAGCACACAGCAAGTGCGGGACAAAACCCAGGCTGTGGGCACATGGCAAGGAATGAAGTAGACAGAGTTGGCTGCCAAGGCCTGGCTCTCCAGAGAGATGGGCCATAGGCACACACTGCCCAGGGCGGAACTCGGGCAGGTTAGGAGAGAGAATAAGGGAGACTATCTCATTGGCCCTTCCAGAGGGGAAAGGAAGCTTCTCTCCCAGCCCCTTCTCCCCAAGCCCAGCTCCCTTCTCAGGATGAGAGGGCTGATCCTTAGCAAGGGATAGGGGCTCAGAGAGGATGGGAGAGTGAGAGGTGCGGGCTCCACTAGGAGGTAGGGGGCTCCTGAGAGCGAGTCGGGGCTCAGCCATGGGTGAGGGCTGAGAGAGAGAGAGAGAGCTGGAGTCTGTGGAGAAGGTGGGGGCTCAGCAAGAATAGGGTTTGTATACGGAGTTAGGGGCTCCCTGCAGGGGGTGGAGACCCAGAGAGGGTAGTGAGGATACAAGGAGGAAACGACGGCTCAGAAGGCAAGGGTCTTCAGTCGGAGGCGGGTGGGTGATCGAGGGAGTGACGGAGAGGCAGATGCGGAGTCTGAGGGACTGCAGGAGGGAGGCGGTGGGTTCCTGGGGGGCCGTGGGGTGTCCGCGAGGGGTCTGGGGTCTCAGAGAGAGAAGGGAGCCTTGGAAAGGGACAGGGGCTCTCCGTCCTTCAGGGGCAGACAGTCTGCAGAGCTAGGCCGCGGGTCGGGCGGGCGGGCGCCCCCCTCCCACCCTCACATCACCCCCGCCCCCGACTGCGGCGCAGGCGCCGACCGAACCAGCTCCGGCTCGGCTCTCGCTCCGGCTCCCGCTCCCGCTCCGCGGAGACGGCAGGCAGAGAGGTGAGCTCAGCCCTGCTCCGCGAGGGGCCCGACCCCCCACCCCGCCTTCTCTCGGGTTCCGGGGAACCCCGCCCGCACCCCCTGCACGGCCACGGCCAGCCTCGGACCGGACGGCGGCGCCCAAGCCTCGGTGTGCCTCGGGCTTTAGGAGGTGAGGTCCCAGAGAAGTAGCAGGGGGCAGAGATCTCACCAGCCCCGTCGCCTAGAGACCCCTCAGGGCTGAGAGGATGGGAGGAGGCTTCGGAGGACAAGAGCCCTACCCACCTGTCTACTAAAACCCCTTCCCACCCCTCCGTGCCTCGGTTTCCCCCCGGGAGAAAGGATGCAGTTAACCTCGACCAGAAACAGTGGTGCGGTGGAGAGGGAGGAATTGGCCGGATTTCGCTGGCCTTGGCCCCGGGGAGGAAGCCCCTTCTCCCAGCCTGGGCTGCGCCGGACACTGAAGTGGGCGGGTCTGGGGGGATCTGGGAAGGAGAACTGAGGGAGGCCGTGCAGGCAAGACATTCCATCCATCTTCAGCCACCCCCCCCCTCCGCCTGTCACCTCGCGGACGCCTCCCTCCGCTTGCCTCCGCCGCAGTCCCCCCCCCCGTAGCCCCCTCCTCTTCCCGCTCCCCCCTCGCCGGGCTCCTCCCTCCTCCCGCCTAGGGACACCTCCCCAGCGTTTCCTATGGCAACCCACGTCCCGGGTACCCGCGCCGGGTCCGGAGCATCCTCCTTTTCCCTCCCCCTGACCACCGGGCCGCCTCCCTGCAACCTCAGCAGGGGAGGAGGAGGGGCCAGGCCGACGGGGAAGCAGCGTCAAGGTCACCTTCCTTCTCCTTTGCCAGCAAGACTGAGTGATTAGGTATATTGGGGGGAGAGGGGCAGTGAGGGCTGCAGGGGCGGAGCGAATCCAGACCAACAATTCCTGAGCCTCTCCTCCCTGCCCCTTCCCCCAGGGTCTTTAATTAACAGGCGCTGCCTTGACTCTGACTGCCCCTCTGGCCCGCATTCTTTCTCCCACCCGGGGCCTCCCGAGAGCCGCGGCCGGGGGCGGGCCCCTCGCTGGCCACACCCCCTGGGAGCCCCGCCCCCCACCTCTCAGGAAGATTCCTGTTCTCTCCAGGGACCACTCGCCCCCTTCCTTCTCTGCCTTTCGTTTTTTGGGCTATGCCTTTTCCCATTCTCTGTCCAAAGACAACATTTTTGGTCCTTTCCTTTTCTTCTCTGTTTCCCCCGAGTTGTGAGGGGGGATTGTGAAGAACCGCGAGTTATAGACAGGCTTTACAAAGAGCACTTCCGGCGCTTTGTTTGGATTCGTGGGGACTCCGAGAATCAGCCCAACCCACACTTTGGCTCTGTGTGTGTACGTGTGTGTATCTGTGTGCTTGGTGTTTCTCTGCGGCGTGTCTAGGTGTGCGGTGTGTCTGCGTGTCTGTTTCTATGTCCTGCGTGTGTCTTTCTATGTCTCTGTGTGGTATATGCGTGCCTGCCTGGGTATGTTTGTGTATCTGTGTTAGGTGTGTGTTTGTACTGTGTGTGTATGTGCGTCAATCTGTGTACGTCTCTGGTGTGTGTGTGTGTGTGTGTGTGTGTGTGTGCTGGCGAGTCTCTCTATGCAGGATATGCAGGAAATTGAAGGCCACATTGATGGGAAATTAGGGGGAAGGGCCAGAAGAAATTTGTCTTCTCTTTCAGTAGAAGTGCCTTGTTTTATTTTGTTTAAAGCTGGTCAGGAGCCCAGTCCCTCCCCATCGCAAACTCGTCTTCCCTCAGCCCCCTCCCTCCCCCCCCCACTTTGGTTTTTAGTCCTATCTGTGTGTAAATACACGAGTACTTTCCATTACCTAGTCTTCAGTGTCTCCATCTGCGAAAAGAAAGATTCCTAAGATTCGTGGTTGCCAGTGGCAGGGTAGGGGCTGGGCAAAATGGGTAAAGGGGTTCAAAGGTCCGAACTCCAGTTATAAAACAAATAAGTTATGAGGGTATGATGTACAGCCTGGTGACTGTAGGTAATAATACAGAGCTGTGTATTTGAAAGTTGCTAAGAGAGCAGGTCCTAAAAGTTCTCATTACAAGGAAAGAAATTTATCGGTAGCTACGTATGGCGACAGATGTTAACTACACTTTATGGTGATCATTACAAGTACCAGATCATTATGTTGCACACTTGAAACTAATACGATGGTATGTGTCCATTATACCTCAATAAAAATGTCTTATTCAAAAAAGAGGGGTTCTTAGATGGGTTTCCCTAGAAATCGAACAACCCTTGAGCCTAAGAGGGCCCCTGGCTTTCACCACCTCTGGAGTCAAGATTCCCTGGGGTGTGGAGGCTCTTGCCTTGTGAGGGGCAGCCCTAGGGAGGGACTTTTTAGGGCCTTGCACCTTGGGAGCTCGGCCTGATTGGACAAAGTGTCAGCCATGACAGTCGCCCCCAAGCATACCCTGAAAAAAGGGGAAGATTTTGCGAGGAGATAGGGGTGAGAACCTCTTATTTTAGATACGGGGCTCACAAAGTGTCAGATAAAAATAATAATGAAGAAATAACAATAATAGTAACTACAACTGCTACCATTTCTTGGTCTCAGATACAGTAACTGTGTGAAGTGGGTGTGATTACTAGCCCTGCTTTACAGATGAGGAAACCGAGGTTTGGAGAGGTAAAAGCATTTGTCTGAGGTCACACTGCCAGGAAGTGGCGGATCCGGGATTCCAATCCAGACAGGCTCCAGGTCCCACGCTCCCCACCACTGGGTGGCTTCCAGACTAAACAAGTACATTCGTTGGCACCTGCGATTCTCAGAGTTCCTGTGCGTTGGCTCATTCGTGGGGAAAGACAAGCCAGCGCGTCTAGAAGGCAGGCTGTGTTCTGAGTGCGGGTTATCCAAAATGCAAGGAAAAGTGGATGAGGCACAACGATGCGGGGGGGGCCTGGGAGGTCTTCACGGACCCCTCCCTCTGCCCACTGCAGCTTGCTTCGCCCACAGAGATCCATGATGCCAAACTGTGACCGTTCCTGCGGCTGTAGCCGTGGCCCCAACGTGGAAGACGGCAAATGGTATGGGGTCCGCTCCTATCTGCACCTTTTCTATGAAGACTGTGCAGGTATGGCCCTCGGCGATGACCCTGAGGGGCCTCCTGTCCTGTGTCCCCGCCGACCCTGGCCCTCACTGTGCTGGAAGGTAAGGCCAAGGGAAGCAACTCATGTGATTTCCTGGGGCTGCAAAGAGGAGATGGGATCGGTGGATAGAAAGAAGAGGGATGGTGTAGCAGATAAGTGTCTTGCGTGTGCAGCCGACAACAACAGCCACAAAAATCCAACTAGAGGGTGCCTGTCTGGCTCCGTTGGTAGAGCATTCACCCTTGATCTCAGTGTCATGAGTTCAAGCCCCACGTTGGGTGTGGAGCCTCCTTAAAGAAAATTGCCAAATGGCTACTGTTGATAAGTCATTCAACACCATACATATTTGGGGCGCCCGACTGGCTCAGCCGGTAGAGTGTGCGGCTCCTGATCTTCAGGTGGTAGGTTTGAGTCCCACATTGGGTGTAGAGATTTCTTAAAAATAAAATCTTGAGGGGCTCCTGGGTGGTTCAGTCGATTGAGCATCCAACTTCGGCTCAGGTCATGATCTCATGGTTCGTGGGTTCGAGCCCCACGTCGGGCTCTGTGCTGACAGCTCAGAGCCTGGAGCCTGCTTCGGATTCTGTGTCTCCCTCTTTCTCTGACCCTCCCCTGCTCACGCTCTCTCTCTTTCTCTCTCTCAAATATAAATAAGACATTAAAAATTTTTTTTAAAAATAAATAAAATCTTGAAAAAAAAAACCTCAAATGGGTTCAGACAATACAGGGGAAATATCAGTCCTTTTATTGAAAAGACCGGAGGTTGAGCAACTTAGGTAAAGTTCAGCCCAGCAGTTCAACCCAGCACACCGGGGACTCAAGATTTCTCTCAGTCCTCAGGCTCCCCATCGTGCCCCCATCCATGTGGCCCCTGTTGGCTTCAGGATCTTCCTACATGTTCCCCCAGAGAGCTGCTAGCTTGCTGACCCTCAGTGTCTCATTCTGCACTATCCACAGGAAATCAGAATTTCCTCTAGTCTTTCCTTCAGAAAAAAAAAGAAAACAATGCTTTTCATTTCAAGAAGTCCCGTCAAGCATTGCCTTGGCTCTGACCCGGTCACTTGCCCGTCTCTGCGCTAATTACTATGGCCAGGGGGAAAGTATATACTGACCGGCTCAGGAAGTGGGGTTCATCTCAGTTAAATCTTATTGTGGCTTCGCAATGATATATTGGGGTACGGTTGCCAGGGTAGTGGATGGCATGAGAGAAACGATGGGTGTCTATAATGACCAGGGAGAGAGGTCTATCAGGGCACACAGTGTGGGCAGAGGCGTGGGGATGGCAGTAAATTGAGTCCCTACAGTGGGCATAGCTTCTGCTAAATGCGATAAGGAGACTGAGGCAGAGGTTCCTTCTCCTCTGCTTTCAAAGGGCTTCCCTCTATCTACAGTGAACGCACAGCCCCAGGCCAAAGGATCAGAGGGTGCTGGGAGAGGAAGTGCTCTCAGTGCCTGGGGTGATCAGGGAAGATCAGAAGAAAGAGGGTCCATAGTTTAAAATGTTGAGCATCTTCTAATTGCCAGGCAGGGAGCTAGGCTCTTGCGCACAGAAAATTTAAGACGCGGTCCTTGTTCTCCAGCAGCTCCTAGCTGTGGTTCGTTTAGTCATTCTGCAAACATTTCCTCAGCTACTGCTCTTTACCAGCACTGTGCTGGTAAAGCCACCCTAGTGGCTCCTTCCAGTGTCTCCCTTTCAAGTGGGGCAGGCAGACATCACTTACACAGTGATGAAAGTACAAGTTCAAGGGGCACCTGGGTGACTCGGTTGGTTAAGGGTTCAACTCTTGATTTCAGCTGAGGTCATGATCTCACAGTTCCTGAAATCAAGCCCCGAGTCTGGGTTCCTCACTGAACATGGAGCCTGCTTGGGATTCTCTCTCTGCCCCTTCCCCACTCATTCTTGAACATGGGTGTGCGCTCTCTCAACATAAATAAACTTTAAAAAATAAAGAAATAGGCAAGACAGTACATGTTCAAGTGTGCGCCAAAGTGAGTGCATGGAAGAACAAATGTGCAGTGTTTGTATGAATCCTAAGCAGGGGACCTGACCGAGTCCAGGAGCATCCTGGAAGGCTTCCCTAAGGAAGTGAGGTTTGAGATGAGATCTGAGGGATGTATAGGAGTTATCCCAACAGGGAGATAGCGGGTAGATGGGACAGAGAGATGAGACAGGACCTAAATAATGATGAAGGAAAACTTAAGGTTGGCAGGAGAAACCTAAGTGGTTCCTAAGCGAGAGTTGGAAAGGACTTTGAGACCAAGGGGCCTCAAGATTCAAAACAGAACATGACATCTTGTGTCCTTCACCAGTTAGGTCCTAGAAGGTATGTTCTGTGACTCAGCGCGATTACCGTCTCTTAAGGTTAGACCAAGGAGTTCCCTTAAAATCCAGTTGGGATCATCTTGGCCCTGACTACTTCCCAATCTGTCTGCCTCTCTCCAGATCAGCCTGTCTTCGGGAACCCTTCTCCTGTTGCTGGGGGTGGCGGCCCTGACCACTGGCTACGCGGTGCCGCCCAAGCTGGAGGGCATTGGAGAGGGGGAATTCTTGGTGTTGGATCAGCGGGCAGCCGATTACAACCAGGCTCTGGGCACCTGCCGCTTGGCAGGCACGGCGCTGTGCGTGGCGGCTGGGATCCTGCTGGCCATTTGCCTGGTTTGGGCCGTGGCCGGCTGGCTGAGCCAAGACACCAAGGCAGAACCCCTGGACATCGAAGCGGATGGTCACGTGGAGATCTTCGGGGACGAGCCAGAGCAGCAGCTGTCCCCCATCTTCCGCGATGTCAATGGCCAATCTTGGTTTTCACCACCTGCCAGCCCCTTTGGGCGATCCTCTGTGCAGACCATCCAGCCGAAGCGAGACTCTTAAGCTGCCCACAAGGCTAGAGGAGGAGCCAGACCTGGGGTCTGGACCATTCCTCTGTCCCATCACATCCTGCCCTCCAACTGTCTCCTGATTTCCCCCTGAGAAGCCGGTCCCTTCCACCTATGTCCCCACAACACCCAGCAAATCCCAGTGTCCCTCCCCGGGGATCGGGCCCCAACTCATCCAAGATGCCAACTTTCCCCAAGTCCCCCCAAAACTTCCCACCCACCCCTCCTTCCCAAGGCCCTTCAGGAGTAGAACCCATCCCCCTCAATCTATCCTCGCTCTACTCTGACCCTGGGCAAGTCCCGCACCCTTTCAGACCGTCAGTTCCTGTCTGCGTACTCTGAGGGGGTTGGATCAGATTCTAGAGTTCCATGACTTCCCTATTCTACCCAGATATAAGCATTACTCTCCATATGCAAAGTTGGGGGGAAGGGTGGTAAGGTCGTCTTTATCCCCTGACCCCTTCATCTGTCAGCCGCACCAGGATGCCCGAGGATGGTTCAGAACGCTCACTTGGATTCTCCTCCAGGATGGTGCGAAAACAGTCACCTCCTGCGGACTGTATTCTATGTCCATTTTGGTGTCAGAGCCCCTGAGGCCACCCCATCATGGGCTGTTCTCAGCCCCAGTTTACAGATGAGGTGACCAAGGGAGGCTGGAAGTCTGCAGGAATTTGGACCCCTGTCTTCAGCCTCCTCCCCGGCCAGCTCTTGTGCTGCATGTGGAACAGGGAACCTGCTGGACACCTCAAGGGGTGGGGGACAGTTTTGGCCCAGAGAGCCTGGCTGGAGGCTTGATGGTCCCAGGTAGCTCAGAAGATAATTTGGACGTGCGTTTAAATGGTCTTTAAGAGCCCAGGGGGAGGAGAACCGGGATGTCTCTGCCGAGGAAAATGCACTCATCTAGAAAGCATCACCCATAGGTCCTGACCTCCCTCACCTGTAATGAATGTGCCCTCCACCCTCCATCCTGCAGCGGCTCTGGCCAGACGCATCATCTCCATTCTTACCACTAGGGGGCGCTCCGAGACAGCCGGAGAGAGGCGCCGATGGACTCCGCCGCATGCCCTCCCCCCTCGCCCGCACCTCCAGCCTGGAGGGGTCTCCCGGGAGGGTCCTCCGTTCTCCCCCTCCCGGCAGGCACTGCCGCCCTTGTGCCCCAGGCCCCTTCCCCATCCTGCGCCTCTTTCATCTTACCCTCCCTTTCAATAAACAGCTGGGATGGTTACCGACTTTGCCTCTTTTCTCCCTGACCGTGGGAAAACGGACGGTTAAAAGCACCTACCGTGTGCTGGGCACTTAAACCCACCACTTGGCATTTGCTTCCCACGATAATTCTTCGAGAAAGGGGACTCTTCATTTTACAGATGACTTAACTAAAGGTCAGAGAAGTGACCCCAGGGTGGGTTTCCGTGCTAATTTGCTGGGAAGCACATTTCTCTAGCATCCTCACTGCTCCCATCCCGGAAAGGGATGTGAGGCCCGGGAGTTCTGGGAGAGGGAGCTGGAGGCAAAGCTGGGCAAGGGGAACAGCGGACCCCTCCTGGCACATAGGAGAGGCCAGGCGCCGTTCTCAGCTCCTTACAGTCACACATTCATTCATTTACCCTCACAACAGGCTATGACCCGGGGACTGTTCCCAAACCCGCTCCCAGGCTGCAGGTTTGCATTTCCAGATGCATTCGCCGGCGGTGTGTTTCTGTCGCCAAACGGTTTCTGTCAACCCTGCCCTCCAGACCCAACCCTGCTGAGCTACCCAATCGCCTGCTTGCTCTAATCAAACCCCTGGAGCAGCGAACTTGGCTCCTGGTTTTCCTCACGCTCCAGCGCAGCCCAGCGGCTAGCCAACTTTGGAAATACAGCCTGACCCCACCCCTCCTCAGCTTCCCCCTGGCCTGAGCCACCGTCGTCGCCTCTCTCTCTGATTATTACACCAGCTTCTCCCTGGTCTCTGTTCTGTGCTCCCTCACCCCCCAAGTCTGACCTCGGCAGAGCAGCCAAGCAGACCCAGGTATGGCCAAAGTTAGGTGGTGCCCCTTCTCTGCTCAGAACCTCCCTTGGCTCGCAGCTCACACGGTAAAACCAACATCATGGGCGCTTTCCTCCAACATCAAGGCCACCTCCCGCCCCAGGCCTTTGCATCGCTGTGCCTTCTGCTGGTACACTTTCCCCAGCTCACCAGCTGCCCAACTCCCTCAACCCCTTTGAGTCTGCACAAACGCCCCCTTTCTCCGCAAGGCCTTCTCTGAACAGCCTGTTTTAAAATGCGACCATGCCCCCATTCCCTATTCCCTGTGCACTTTGGAGTTCAGTTTTTGCTTTCCTATAGCATTTATCACCTTTCAGAATACTTACTATGTAACTTACCTATTACGTTATTGTTTGCCAACTGTCTACCCCCTGCCACAATGATCTCCACAAGAAGGAGGATCTTTGCTCATTTACTGGCAAATCCCAATGCCTTGAAAATGCCTGGCACATAGTAGCTACTCAATAAAATGGGTCGAATAAATAAATCATAGTTTTATAGAGAGCCACAATGAGTCTTGGGAACACCGAGCAGCTTACTCAAAGATGCACAAGGAGCAAGGGACAGCACTGGGATTCAAACACAGGCAGTCGGGCTCCTGAGTCCACAGCCTGCACCACCGTACCGCACTGACCCTTGGTTTGAAGGCCCAGAGCTGGAGAGACCATATCAAATGCCAATAAATGTTTTCAGGAAGGTTTCTTGCCCTGTGGAAATGTGAGCACAGCGTTAACCATATTTCTTTCCAAAGAAGTTAGAATACACATTTTTATATGAAATGTATCCATTTTTAAACATCTGTATCTGCTTCAAAAGTTGACTAGGTCCTGCCCAAGACAAAACATTCCCAGGGACAATTCATGGGTGGCCATGTGTGACCTCTGGCCTGGATACTCTGGGTTAGTGCTCACAGCTGATCGGGACCAGGGGTAGAATTTCATGCGAACAAAATGGCCGGGAAATGGAGGTAGACGTCCACCCCAGGATCTATGTCATATTAGCGTTTCTTCCCAGCTGCCACGTAGGAAGCCAACCCTGCTCTGTAACCCCAATAAATCCCAGGCCCCCACAGAGCCCCGTCCCCACAGAGTATCTCATTTTGAAGAAACAGCATCCAAGAACCAAAGTTAATTTCCAGCAATGCCAACTGTCACGTAAATCCTTGAAGAATGTCAAACGAGGCTGTTCCATTCTCATACTTGGCTCGTGGAACTATGTGCTGCGTAGAATACAGTTTCCCCAAAGTTCATGTCCACCTGGAGTCAGTGAACATGACTTTATTTGGAAATAGGGTCTTTGTGGGACACCTGGCTGGCTCAGCCAGTAGAGCCTGGGATGCTTGATCTCAGGGTTGTGAGTTCGAACCCCAGGTTGGGTGTAGGGATTACTTAAAAAGAAAATCTTTTTTTTTTTTTTTTAAAGAAATAGAGTCTTTGCAAATATAGTAAAGTTAATATGAGGTCCTAATGGATTAGATGGGCCCTAATCCAATAACCAGTGTCCTAGTAAGAATGGGAAATTTGGACGTGACATACACAGAGGGCAGGGGGCTTTGGGAAGACAGAGGCAGGGTCTGTCTATAAGCCTTAGAAGGGCCAAGGGTTGCCTGTAACCCCCCAAAGCCAGAAGAAGCCAAAAAGGAAGACTTCAGAGGGAGAATGGCCTTGCCAACTCCTCGATTTCAGACTTCCAGACTCCTAAACTGTAAGACAATAAATTGTTGTTGTTTGAAGCCACGTAGTTTGTGGTACTTTGCAGAGGAGCCCTGGGAAACTAACACTGGGTGTAAACCCGTGCCGACTCCGAGAAAGGCAGTATGGCAATCTCCAGATGGAAAATACACATGCCCTTTGATCCCTCCCTCTCTCTCGTGCAGGTATATCTGTAGATTAAATCCCACAGGTAGGAACACTACGGTATTGTTTGTATGAGAAGACATTTGGAAATAACCTAAATGCTCATTGGAGGGGACTTGGCTAATAAAGCATCCACACAGACACAGCCAAGTATATGGGTCTGGGGTATGTATAGGGTACTCCACCCCCAAAGAGCGGAATACATAAGGCCTTGGGCTTTTGTGGGTCCTGGAGACCCAAGGGGCGCTTGGGGGTACTGAATAGACACAGAGCACACAGCTGCCTCGGGCGCCCTCTGGTGTTCGTTCAAGGTGGTGGCAACCCAGCCGGTTGACGCTTTCCCCTACCTCTCAGGGCGGCCCCACTTCCTTCCTTTAGCTGGTGTTCCCTCCTCTCTGAGGTGGGGAACCTGAGATGGGGAGGGACTGACGGGCTTGTGGGGGAGGTTCACCTGCTGCCCCACCCCTTTTAATTCCAGAACCTGAGCACCCAACCCACGTCACCCTGGGGGCTGCCCCTCCCTCCTGATGAGCCCTTCATACCCTTCCCACCCCTTCCGACCCAGGGACAAGGTTACTTCTCAAGCCCGGCTTCAGAGGGACTCCTCCACCTCACCCCCAACTGGGCCTGAGAAGAGGTGACCTGAGGCCACTGCCTGGCCTCTGGGGGCGCTGTGCCAGGGCAGGGAGATGCCGCAGGGCGAGACAGCCAAACAAAGCGCTATTGACAGAGATGGGGATGGTATTAGTGGGAGGTGGAGGGAGAGAGTCGGCTGTGAGGCCGACCATCAGCGACATTCCTGCCCCAACTCTTTGTCCCAAATCTTCTATTGAGAGCAGGCTGAGAGGGGGACAGTCGGCCAGGATTCAAGTCCCTATGTCCGCTGAGGCAATTCCCTAACCCTTCTGAGTCTCAGTTTCTTCTCCTCTAAATTAGGAACAAGGGATCGCTGGGTTGAGCGTCCGGCTCTTGATTTCCGCTCAGGTCATGATCTCGCGGTTCGTGGGTTGGAGCACCGTGTCGGGGTCTGTGCTGACAGCTCAGAGCCTGGGACCTGTTTCCGATTCTGTGTCTCCCGCTCTCTCTCTCTCTCTCTCTGCCCCTCCCTGCTCAGGCTCTTCTCTCTCTCTCTCTCTCAAAAATAAGTAAACATAAAAAAAATTTTTTTTTAAATGAGGACCACAAGAATACCAACCTCTTGGGATGGTTTAAAGACCTAATGAGCTTGGCCCATAGGAGTGCCCGATAAATGCTAGCTATTGTTATGCCAGAGGAGAAATTTGAGGTTCAGATTAGCAGGCAATGTACAAGTTATAATTATGGATGACTCAGCCATGGTCCTGGCCTCCATCACAGTCCAGTGGAAAGGACAGTCCTGCAGAGAGACAATGGCAGTATAATAGAATAAGGGCTGCAACTGAAGGACCGGGGGTGTCACATCACAGAGGACAGACACAGGGAGACTTAGACAGCAGCACCTACAGAGCCAGCCTGTGCCATGCTGCGCAATTAGTATTTCACGTAAACGCGATTTGCCCTCATACCACCGTGACGGGGTAACCACTACCCCAACTCCTAGAAAAGGAAACTGAGCAGAGTGTTGAAGCCTCTTGCGAAGGCTACATGGGTGACATTGAACCCAAACCGTCCAGGTTCAAAATGCCCCATAACCCTGGCATCTATCGACGCGGAAATAACCCCCATCTCCCCAGAGTCTACCAACGAATTCGTTATGCGGGTTCGCTGGTCCTCTGCATAGCTCCACACACAGGTCCACACGGACACAGGCAAGTATAGGATCTTTGGTAGATACCCAGACATCATGTTAGCTCAGATAAACACATTAGTTTATCCTGCCTGTGACAGGTGCGCAGAAAATCCTATGGAAATCCACCCCAAGAATGGCGTACATTGTTGGGAAAAAATAATCAGCCCAGATGAACTCACAGACACACTCATCCATATGTGAATCGACGGACCCCTTGCACGAGCCCTTGAGTAAGCATGGTGCCTGTGTGGGTGTGCACACCAGTCAGTGTGTAAATTACTATAGTGGTGTGTTTGTGGGCCCACTGAGGCGCTCAGAGAGTATTTGCACTTAGTCTGTTATTGCCTTTCTTTAGCAGCTATATTTATTGAGGCTCTACCGTATCTAAGTAACAATAAGGCTCAGAGATGTGAAGTGCTTTGCCCAAGGTCACACAGCTAGTAAATGGCTGGGATGCAACCCCTGGTCCTGTAATACTGGGTGGGCAGTGGCATCGGTCTCTGCTACCGAGCAGACGTGTTCCAAAGTGGGCAGCGCCACGACTGAACTTCCACACTGACATTCCTTGTGACCTTGGAC